TATATATATATATATATATATATATATATATATCTGTGACTCGTTTGGAAAAAATATAAAAGTGTTTTGGATGGGTTGGAGTCAATAATAGGGGCTATTTGTTAACTATTTTTTACTCGAGCTCTAAATGACTCACTCCCAGCTTGTATGTGTATTATCCTGTAATAATCCTTTCCCAAGTTAACTGCTCTTTTTCTAACTTGGCTGCACCATACGGAAGATGACCAATAGTCAGAATTACGTATAGACTGTTGCCTTCCATCGATAACATACCTATTTTGTTTTCTGTTTTCCTGTTTTGCGGAACATGTCATTACATTTTACTTGTATGTATATATATATATATATATATATACAGTGTAGGTAAAATTTTAAGGTCGGTATGGTAAAATTTAACAGGATATCTAACGCAGATATAAAATCATATTTTCAACGAATTAGACAAAGATAACAATCATATTTCCCCTTCGTCTCCCCTCCTAAAATCCTTTTAACACTCTTTGGCCATTGCCCATTAGTGAGACGATTAGTTCCGATCAGATATTCTCTGGTTCCGATCCTAATATACCTAAAAAACTAGAGGTGGGTCTTCTCGTTTTTTTAATTTTTATCGGAACCGTTTTTCGTAAACTGTAACTAGTTGATTGTTTACCAGTATTCAAATTAGCGAGTACACAAACATATTAGCTATTATCGTTTATGTGTATAAGTATTGAAATAAAAGAACCTAACGAAGGATATATTTATTGTAACTTGAAAAATAAATTAAATAATACAAATGGTACTTAAATAGTTACATTTACATTACACATTATTAAATCGCGAATCGTCTAAATTGACATTTAAAAACATAAGTTTTTCCACTTTCCTTGTTAATCGCGTTCTTCTTTTATTTAAAATTATACCAGATGTTAAACATGTGTTCACAAGGAAAAGATTTTGTTACAATACTACAACATTTTATGAATATAGTGGTTAAGTTACGATATACATGGCGATGGTTTTTTCACCACGGTAATGGACAGTTCCAATCTCCGTTCGAAATTGTTTGTGGGTAATATATCATCAGACAATTACATGTCGACTTCTTTTATACCTCTCGATACAGGTGTATGTTTAGATGAGTCATGTCCAATTAATTCATCAAAAATACACCATGGACTTAAGTCATCTTTATCAGTTTCTTTTTCTTGGACTGATTGATTTTCAAGATTTACTAAACTTTTCGTTTCATCCGTTTTCCATAGTTAAAGAACCAGCTTTTAAAAAGTTTGCAGGGTGGATTCCTGGATATAAACCGCCAACAAGAAAAACTTTGTCAGGTTCATTACTTCAGGAATGTTATGTCAAAAGTGAGCAAGTTATTAGATCGCAAGTTGTTAAAGAAGTAGAAAATATCTGTATTACTACTGACCTCTGGACATCTGGAGTAACTGAGAGTTACTTCGCATTAACAGGACAATATTTAACCGAAAATTTAGTATTCAAAACTTTTTTATTAGGCTGCTGCCATTTTTCTGGAAACCATAATCCAGAAAACAGCGATTACTGAAATTATTAATCAGTCGGGTCTAAAACGAAAAGTAAATTTTGCAGTAACTGATAATTCCTAAAATATGGTCAAAGCTATTAAATATGTTTTGTTTTATGATGATTGTGATTTATGATGATGATTAAATTTATTGGTGGAGGACGCACTTAAATGCTGTCGTGTACAAATAGATAAAATAAAAAGTCCTTTTTTCGACAATTCTGCAAAAAAACACATTTCAAAAAAGTACCTTATCTTCAGAAAGGCTTTTAAAGTATTAATTACAACAGAACACAGTTCCCAAACAGCCAATCCAAGACGTGGAAACTAGGTAGAACTTCACCTATTACATGTTAAAAAGAATGACCGAGTTAGAAGAGGCAACCCGTTCCACATTGGTATTAAATAATACAGACTTAGACTTAAACCTAATCTAAATAAAGAACACTGGATTATTTGTTCTCAACTTTCCCAAATTTTACGGCCGTTTAAAGAAATAACAAGTACAATGAGTGACCAAAAATACTTGAATGCTAGTTCAGTGATTGTTATGGTACGCTGCCTGCAAGAATCTTGCAATAAAATTTTAGCAAACGGCATACTTACATCCATAGTATCCGACATAGTACAATTACTAATATCGGGTTTAGCAAAAAGATTTAGAGGGATAGAACAGAGTGGCACATTGTCATTATGTACATTTATGGATTCACGATTTAAAGTGCAGAACAAAACAAAAAGTTAAGAAGCTGGTTACTTCTATAATTAACGAACAAGAAGATTGTACTATTGAAAATCAACCAGTACAAGAAAAAGAAACCAATAAATATGACTTAAGTCCATGGTGTATTTTTGATCAATTAATTGGAGATGACTCATCTACACGTACACCTGCATCGAGAGTCCATTACAACGGTGGAAAAACCATCGCCATGTATATCCTAACTTAACCACTATATTCATAAAGTATTGTAAATGTGAACACATGTTCAAAATCTGGTTTAATTTTAAATAAAAAAGAATACGGTTAACAAGAAGTAAAGTAGAAAAACTTATGTTTTTATGTCAATTTAGACTATTCGCGATTTAATAATAACGTGTAATGTAAATGTAAGTCCGATTTACTATTTGTATTGTTTAGTTTAGAACAGAATATTTAAAACAGAATATTTAAAAATTGGAGGAAATACCACAGATCTGAGGCTTGAAAACGCAGTCATAAAAGGCTGCAACCAGTATAAATATCTAGGAAGCATCATATCAGCAGATGGCAGAGTTAAGATAGATGTACAAAACCGAATAACCCAAGGGAAAAAATGCATCCGAATACTGAATTCATTACTGTGGTCTAATAAAATAAAGATGCATACCAAACTTCGCGTATACAGAGCAATTGTAGAACCAATTACCACATATGGTGCCGAATGTTGGACGATGACAAAGAATGAACGAGATAAAGTAGACGTTGTGGAAATGGATTATCTTAGAAGGTCATGTCGAGTATCGAGAATGGAAAGAATCAGGAATGAGGAAATACGAAACCGTACAGGAATTAGAGATACTCTTTCAGATAGAATACAAGGAAGGCAATTACAATGGTATGGTCACGTGATGAGAATTGAGGAGGAGCGATGGCCAAAGAAAGCCTTAATGTATGTTCCGCCAGAAAGAAGGAAAAGGGGAAGACCACCAAATTCCTGGAGAAGAGAAATTACAAAAACAATGCAATCTAGAGGCTTAGAAGAGGGAGATTGGGGAGATAGGAAAAGATGGAGGCTGAAATGCGGGAAGCGGCAATCGCCGTAGGACCCCCGTTATATGATGATGATGATTGTTTAGTTTATTTTTCAAGTTATAATAAATATATCATTAGGTAGTTTCTTTTACTTCAAAAGATATACACATAAACGATAATAGCCGTTATGTTTGTTTATGTAGGTACTATCTTACTTGAAACTACTTTTAAACAATCATAGTTACTTGTTTATGAAAATTAAAATTTTTAAATGCTTTTTAGCATTCAAAAAAATTTAAATTTTTTTGGAATCCTGAGAAAACTAACAAATATTTTTGAAAAATTTAAATGCAGAATGAAAGATTACATTATTACTGAGGGCCGAAGGTCCCTTAGAATAAACAAAAAGTTTTTTTAATGAGATATTTGAAATTAAAAATCACACTAAATTTTGTTTTTTTTTTTCATCCCTATAACTTATTAAAATAAACATTATAGAAGTTTTCAGGGACTTTCAGCTCTCGGTAATAATGTATTGTTTCATTCTGCGTTTAATTTTTTCAAAAATATTTATTAGTTTTCTCAGGATTTTGCTCCTACGCTCTTAACGATAAACTGGCACGACCCACCTCTACTTCTCGTTACTCGATCTTTTGACCAGACGGCTATCTAACCTAGACGTTGCCAAATAAATTAGTGTATGAATATTTTTTAATTTGGCGTTATTGTATGCATGTTTAATTGTTTAATATTTCATATTGGGAAATTATTTTGATGTTTAGATTTTTAGTTCGGAAATCGTACTTAAAATACGAAACATTAATAAATTTTATTTATATAAAACGATTTCCGAAATGGAAATCAAAATGTTATATTACAATTATTGTAAAGAAAACTTGTGGCATATTCCCAATAAAAAAAAACAGTAACCTGCCATTTAAATCAATTTCGCCCAAATTTGATTATCTTGAGCATTTTATCTTCTTGATAGAACATTGTTCAAATGCAAAAAAAGACAACAGGTCAAATAAAACCAATAAGTTTGGCAACGTTGAATTTCCCCTTTTTTAATATTTCCATTCGGCGATATAAAGGGCGTACCTAATATACCTCTCTCTTTTTAAACAGCTGTTTCTCACTCCATCTCACGTAAGGTCCATACCGACCATAAAATTTTTCCTACACTGTATATATATATATATATATATATATATATATATATATATATATATATATATATAACCAAAAGGATGATAACGGGTACGAGTACTATGTAGTAAAAAGGAGATAATACTGGGAAGTACCCTTTTATAACTGAGGAAGCAAAATAAAACTAGGGTGCTTCGTTCGATGTTAGATTTATAGTAAATATATCGTTTTTACAAAACACATTGTAAACTATGGATACCATTTCTGCAACTAGGTTTAATATATGCATAGACAATACTTTCTTTGTGTTCAACCCAAGTCACTGAGTTACTTGCTAGAATTAGGTTTACTCTGATGATGTCAATAATCATTGACGAAAGCTTAGACCTTTAATTAAAAGCACATCGAACGAAGCACCCTAGTTTTATTTTGCTTCCTCAGTTATAAAAGGGTACTTCCCAGTATTATCTCCTTTTTACTATATATATATATATATATATATATATATATATATATATATATATATATATATATATATATATATATATATATATATATGTCCAATTTATATTAACAATTTTTTAGGTACAGTAGTACAGATAGTGAAGTGATTCCAATAATAGATACTTGTGAAAACCGCTGTGGACAAATAGAAAATATAACGGAATTGTATCATTTAACATGCGACTGTGATGATGATTGCTTTGTTAGTAATAGATGTTGTCCTGATTATTATGATACCTGTACAGGTAATACTTATTATAAAAATTTAAGAGATTACTGTGATAATAGTTACTAAGTTTTGTATATTTTGCTTATGTAAGGCATATTTAAGTGAAAATATTCCTAATAATAATCAGTCCTTACTGTTCTTAGACGTACTTAGTGAGTTAACTCGATAAACTATCTAGTAAATAAATAAACTTATACCGATAAATGATAAAAAATTAAAATTCAAAAAAATAATATAAAAATATGGTCCTTAAAGGGCCTCGACCTGTTCAAGCTTTCTACGAGTCTGTCCCTTGCTGGTATTTCCAGTTGGCAACGCCGATCTTGTCAGCATCATGTGTTAGTGTCGTTACATACTATAAGAAAAACACCCGGCCCGGGTCTTTAACGGTCCGAGTGTTTTTCGTATAAATCGTACCAGGGCATTTAAACATATTAGTCTTTTCACATTATACAAGAAACGGAGTAACGCCCGGGCCGAGACCGAATACCTCTCGGATCCCTGCTGCTTCGTCCGAGTCTCGGACCGGGCATTTCACCGTACCGAGACTTAGTGGGGCATTGGCGTAAATATATCACTACACACTGTTCCTGTAGTACTCGGACGCAGTGATCCGAGAGCATCTGGGTTGTACTGGTGTTGTGTGTGCGATCACTACTACTATGACGTCCGAACGGGAAATTGACATAGACGTGCTAATAAGTTTGGTAGAAGATTATCCTGTAATTTGGAACAAAAGTTCGGAGGAATATAAAGACAGGAATAAAACAAGAGATGCTTGGAGAGAGATCTGCATCAAACTGGATGAAAACTTCGACCAAGTAGATGCCGTGGAGCGCAAACAATTTGGTGAGTACATTTGGCTATATTATATTATTATTTTGTTTTATATGTCCACTACAAGTTATTGAAGCTCATATAAGATTTATAAATTTTATTATTATTGTGAAATAAGTATCTATAGTAACAATTATGCAATTTATTAATCTAAATTTTTGAGTTTTGCCACGGCACAGAGCCTTCATCTGTTACAAAATAGTCAGCTAAAACGTTTCGTATGCCAGTCCCAGCTTTTTGACCATGACTGATTTGATGTGTAGGTATATCATCAAAACCATCGGTTGAAACGGTGTCCTCAAAGTTATAACCGTCCTTTTCCCTTACAAAATTGTGAAGGACGACACATGCTTTAACAATATTAACCGCTAAGTCTGTATGGACATTAAGAGGACGATGAAAAATTCTCCACTTATTTGCCAGTATTCCGAATGTGCATTCTACATACCTTCTTGCTCGACAGAGGCGGTAGTTAAAAATTTTTTTTTTATAATTTAAGTCTTTCCCTGCAAATGGTCTAAGTAAATGAGTACTCAAGGCGAAACCTTCATCTCCGATAAAAAAGTAAGGTATGTCTGGATTTAATGAACCATAGAGGGGCCTAGGATTTGGTAACTGTAGTTTTTGAGTCTGAATGTTTTTCCACAAAGAACTTTCTTTAAAAACCGTTGAGTCACATTCACTTCCGTATGCACCAACGTCAACGTAAATAAATCGATAGTTGCTATCAGCAACAGCCATCAGCACTACCGAAAAATAGCTTTTATAATTAAAGAACATGGATCCACTACCAATTGGTTTAATTATTCGGATATGCTTGCCGTCAACGGCTCCTATACAATGTGGAAAATTTGCTCTTTCTTCAAAACCTTCGGCTACATTTTGTAATAGTTCGCTATTAAGTTTAGGCAAAAAGTCGTCGGTTAACTTTAACCAAATAATATTACAAACTTCTCGCACAATGTTCGCTATTGTAGATATTCCCATTCGATAACTGTAATGTAGATCTGTGAAATAACATCCACTACCGAGGTACCTGAAAAAGAAAGTAGGTAACTGTAATTGATCATAGTTTTAGTAGGAAAATGGCCCTTGGTGAAATTTTCTAAATTATTGATATGTTCACACACACACGATATGCGAATTTTTCCGGAGTTGGTTCATACAAACAAAACAAGCTTTGCGCTTTTTATCTCCGGTTCCACAACCCCTGAGGTCAAGGGATATTCGCGGCCGTTTCTGAAGCTCCAACAACTACTATCCGGGCAGACGCCCCGCCGATTATTGGATTACAGAACTCCAGAAGCATGACGACAATAGAATAGGCCGAAATTGTTTTGATATGTTATATTTCTCATCATCCTGATCAAAAGTCTCCGGGCCCAACTCAATCCTATGACTAGTTTTTGAGATACAGGGTGTTAAACTTTAAAATGGATTGAATTTATGTTACACAAAAACGTTTACTACAAGTTTAAGTAGTAGTAAAATGAAACCATTTTAAACTGTAACACCCTCTATCTCGAAAACTACTCATAGGATTGAGTTGGGTCCATGGTTGATGATAATTACAACATATCAAAAATGTAGAAAATTTCATCAAGGGTCATTTTCCTACTAAAAAGCGCGGGGTCCTTTGACTTGTTCACTATGTTCACCTTGAAGTCACACAAATTTTACACGATTCTCTTATTGCAGGTACATTGGTTTTGAAACGTTGGACAAATATTCGAGACCAATGGATGAAGTGGAAAAAGAGGGTTAACGACGTAAAAAAATCAGGAGCAGGAGCATCAAAAATAAGAAAGTATATTTATGCTGAACAATTAAAGTTTCTGGAGAAAATTCCGACCCACAGACCAACAGAATCTAATATTCCAAATGAAGGCGAAGAACAACACGAAAGTGAAAACGATTCACAACAAAATAAGGACCAAGCTACTGGCACCCCTGTAACAGAAGTAGCACCAGAAAAAACAACTACCAAACGTCGTGATGGTGCTCACAAAGTAACCCAAGGTGCAAACAAAAAGCGTAGAATGGACGAGTTTGAATTGCGAATGCTGAAAAGCTTGGAGTCGGATGAGCCGCAAGACCGGCACTTACTGTTTTTTAAAGGCGTCCTACCTTCTATTCAAGGTTTTAATGACTCCCAAACTATTGAGTTTCAGATGGGAATTTTACAGTTGGTAAAAAACATTAAATCGGGAAATCCTCATCTGCCGGCTGTCAACCAACAAACGCCTCTCTACTATTCTACGCTACACAATCCATATCCTCCAGCGCACCCTCGACCTCAGCAACATTTTGTACCTGGGACACAAGACAACAGTCAAGCTACGGCTTTTAATAATACACAGACACAGTCCAATATGTTAACTGCAGCAACAACACATTACCAAGAAGAGTATACTCGTCAAACATCAACACCTCTTTCAACAGAAGCAGGGACACCCTCCTCACTTTCTTCATTCTTGTCAGATATGGATTTTTAATACAGTTGTTGTTATTAACTCAATAATAAAGCTTATTTTTTAGTAATAATTAATTAAACTTCCCAACTTACCTTAATGTTACTGCCAACATTTCTATAGGTGGAATACAATTTCTTAAGTGGGTATTTTCTTTCTGGATATGAGGTTGTAGGTACTTTAGTAGTTCATCAAAAGTAGAAATAGACATTCGAAAGTAATTGAAAAATTTCACATTATCTTCCCTTAGCTGGGAAAATAGTGTCTGAAATGTACCAACAATATACCGTTGTGCAACTATTGGATGAACCCAAACAGTTCTCAATTTTTTTGTTTTGCGACGATGTCTTAATAAAGAAATAATAATCATTTTCTTACGTCTGTCCATAATGAAAGAACACTGAATACTGCACTGATACTGAAAATGATGTGAGGTCTCCGGATCGAGAGAAATCGGATAAACAGGTATGCGCTGTGTAAAATTCATACGAAAAACACTCGGACCGTTAAAGACCCGGGTCGGGTGTTTTTCTTATAGTATGTAACGACACTTACTCCGTCTATTTACCTCTACTTTAGCCCACTTCGCCTTCTCAGTCCCACTTTTTTATCATGTTTGATTCCGGGTGTCGGGCTATTAGTCTAGGCGGGATCTGTTTTGGATTGGACATTTTCCATAGGAAGCTATTTTTTTGCTGGAATCCCTTCAGGATACGTCCATTATCGATAATCACGATATGCGCCAGTCGCAAACCCTGTGCTAAATTTTTTATTTAACAAAATCTGAAAACAATTGAAAATTTCTCATTTTTTTGCTCTTATTTTCATTTATAATTCGGAAAATAGTGATCCTAGAGAAAAAAATATAACAAGTTAAAAGTTTCGTTATTCAATCTTACACAAAATTTTGTTAGCTAGAAATTGAAAATTTAATGGTTATTGTTAAAAAATAGCAATAATTGGAAAAAAAAACCAAAAAATTGAAGTTAATCCTTTAAATGTTTTCGACTTTTTAAACTTGACTTACAAGTTCCATATTCCGCCTAGAAAAACTTTTTAATATGTTTAAAACGTGTGCTAAATTTTATGAAGATCGATCAAATAGGTTTTCAAATTCATAGTAGGCCCTAAATAAGGCCCTCAGATAGTTGCAATTTTACATATAAAGGAAGTCTCAAAATTTCAAACGCATTTTGTAAAATTCAAATCGGTTCACTAGGAGAGCCTAAAATTTTTTTTATAGTTATAAACAATTTTTAGGCTTATAAACAAATTAAATAACTTTACGAGCTTTAAACATATCAATTTCAAAATGTATACACTTAAAGAACATTAAAAGACGCTTCTTTTAAAAAACAAAAAGATACATTCGCCTTACTGGTTGCCGAGATATTGAAGGTCAAAGTTGGCATACATTTGCCATCTAACCATAAGTGATAGAGGGCTCGTTTTTAAACAAATACCCTCGTCTTGCCAAATACTTTTTATATGAAAAGTTTTACGTAATGCGCTTCATGGCAACATCCATAAAAAAGACAAATAAAAAACCGTTTTCGCGTAAAATGTCGCTCGGAATGCATGAGAGGTGGTGGTGAGGGACATTCACTTCAAATGTGAATCGGCGAGTATCAAGTAGGGGACCATCAGTTTGTTTAATTTCGGGTTTTGAAATAAAAATAAAAGTAAAGTGCTCCAAAATCTGTAAGGGCTTGTATTGAAGGCTTGTATGTTATACAAGTAATTGCATTTTTTCTTCATGTTTCTTTTGAGCTTGCAATTTATACATTGAAGTAAATTGTTACTTTTAGTAAACAAATATGTATTTATAAATTGTTAATAAATTCTGATGAATTTGCTACTTGTACTTTAAAAAAGGTTGCAAAAATAAAAATTTTCAATTGTCCATGCTGCCACCTACACAATCTGTAGCTGAGCAACACTCGCTTCGTGTATATTTCCAAGTACAGCAGTGGCTTTGAAATAACCTGAATGCTACTGAGTGGGGGTGGGAACTAACTCAAAATGGTCTTGAGCCAATACAAACTGAGCAAGTATTACTACCTGACTTCAGAAATATTAGTTGCAAATGTAAAAAACTTTGAACAAAAACATGCAGTTGTATCAAACATGGTCTCAAATGTTCTGACTATTGTCTTCACTGCAATGGTTAAACATGTAAAAATATTGATCACAGTAAAATATGGAAGGAAGTTGAACGAAATATGGATATGGAGTCGATCGATTCCTTAGATTTTTTGGAGGCACAAGATAAAGCTACAAATGAAGAAGAAGAAACATTAAATTAACAGATCGAGGATGAATAAATTGAAATGGAAAATGAAGGTTTTGATTAAGAAATAAGACCTAAAGATTCTTGTCTTTCCAAAAAAGAAAAAGACTTAAAAAAAATTATTGAAGATTGAGTCAAAATAAAGTTTATTTATGAAAAGAATTTTTTTTTATTCGCCCTTGTTTTAACAATTTAAATTATTTATTAACAATTTATAAATACATATTTGTTTACTAAAAGTAACAATTTACTTCAATGTATAAATTGCAAGCTCAAAAAAAACCAGTTTCGAGCATTACACAGCAGTATAATAACACGTCAATATACACGTCACTTTCGAATCAAAATATATTCTCAAATCAAATAATGTTAATTATTATGATAAAACTTCAGAAATAAATTATTTTTGATGTTAATTGTTTTAAAATGTTTGATTTTTACAAAAAAAAATTTCTTCGTTTTAACAATTCAAATTATTTATTAACAATTTATAAATACATATTTGTTTACTAAAAGTAAACCGATTTGAATTTTACAAAAATCGTTTGAAATTTTGATACTTCCTTTATATGTAAAAAAAATTGCAACTATCTGAGGGCCTTATTTAGGGCCTACTGTGAATTTGAAAATTTGCGATTTTTTTTTTCAGTAGGCTGGATTGCAAAATTATTATGCAAAACCTATCCGACCGATCTTAACAAAATTTAGCACACGTTTTAAACATATTAAAAAGTTTGTCTAGGCGGAATATGGAACTTATAAGTCAAGTTTAGAAAGTCGAAAACATTTAAAGGTAACTTCATTTTTTTGTACTTTTTGTTCCAATTATTGCTATTTTTTAACAATAAACATTAAATTTTCAATTTCTAGCTAACGAAATATTGTGTAAAATTAAATAACGAAACTTTTAACTTCTTATAATTTTTTCTCTAGGATCAATATTTTCCGAATTATAAATGAAAATAAGAGCAAAAAAATGAGAAATTTTCAATTGTTTTCAGATTTTGTTAAATAAAAAATTTAGCACAGGGTTTGCGACTGGCGCATATCGTGATTATTGATACTGGGCGTATCCTGAAGGGATTCCAGCAAAAAAATAGCTTCCTATGGAAAATTTCCATTATGGTCTTAATTTCTACAGATGCCGCCTAGTCTATATATGCACTGCATACTGCAGACGGTTTCGCTTGATTAGAGTGGTTATATCTTTTCCACCAAACTTATGCTTGTAGATATTCTGCAGTTCAAAGTTATATCTGCACATATTCCGACAGTACAAAATATTCTCTGACATTTGATTTAATTATGATTAATTGTTAATCCTTTATAATATTTATTTTAGCAGAATCCGTTTTCGATAATACCTTTCTTTTCAAATTTTTAGGATTCAAACTTTTCACTAATATTCTGATTTTCATTATCACTTCTGTTTCCATCTAATTTGCCTTTCTTTTTATTGGATTTTTTCTTTGGACTTCTGCCTTTAATATCTCAACAGTGTCCTTAAAGCACGTACTGGTTAAAAATTTCTGATTTTTGAGTTCTTCTTTTGCGAACTTAAGAATATTCCATTTTTGATGCCTTTTTTTTTTTCTTGGAATTTTTTCTTTGATCTTCTACATCTAATATCTTACCTCTTCTACCTGTAATAAGAATGTCCTTAAAGGGCGTACTGGTTGAATTTCTGATTTTTGAGCTCTTCTTTTTCGAACTTCAGAACGTTCGATTTTTAATAGTGGCCTAATTTCAGATGAAGACCGAATGGAAGTTGATGACTCAACATTATCAAAAGAAAAGTTAGTTGATATTACTGGAATTTGTTTGGCTTGATTATCTTCTGGGCCATCTTTATTATTCATTATCAATGTGAATCAGGAACATTTATTGTTAATCCATACTGATAAAAACTGGTGTGTTCAAAAGATCAAATGTTTACTGAGCTACTACACCATCAGATAAATTTTTCTTACTTCCACCAACTTCCTTCCACATATTAACAGATTCTGCCTCCTTTTCGATTTTTCTCTTTGAGCCAGATTCTGCTGCTTTCACTATCAATGTTTTTTGTTTAGGTTGCTTTTGAATGTATAGTCTATCAGTTAGCATAGAAGAAGCGAAGTTTTATTCTAAAAATATTATTGGGTTAAACGGAAAAATGTCGGTCGATTTAATAGCGTTTACAGCCCTTTCAATGTTATCAACGTTCTAATAAGCTTTTGAAATGAAACCAGCTACGCCAGTCTGGGAATAGTGACAAGATGAATATGATTTTTTTCGGCAAAAATTAATGACTTAACCAAAAAAAAGAATACTAAAGTTAAAGAATACTTTGAGTTAGATACTTTAACTGTAATCTCATATGAAAATACAAATTATAGGATCTTTATTACTTTAGATAAACTTGAATGCTTTTTATGTAAGCAATCTCGACACACTGTAGACTCCTGCACCAACCCTCAAGAAATATCCAGCAATCCCTCTCCAAATACAACTTCTAGCCAAACCCCACTTGATCCTCCTTCTAGTATATCCCTTCTTTCGCCCTTCTCAAAAGAAAAAATATATTCAAATAACCCACCTACTGACATAACTATCCCAAATGAACAGTCTCTAATACCAGTATCTGTCCCTTCTAACTCTGGCATAAAAAAAAAACGAATTTCACTGACGCAAGTCTTGAATTACCTTCTTTACTAGTAACCGCTAGTCACCTAAACTTAAACTCTAATAACACATTAAACACAACAACCTTCGCAACTTTTAAATCAGCTCCTAAAAAGAAAACAAAAACTGATGACAAAGAAATTGGTTAAATTAATCCATTTGCCCATTCAAGTATTAAAAAATTAATTTGTGCTAATCCACAAAATTTTTCGTTATCAACATTACAAATAATTGACTTTCTAGAAAATTCCTTTGGGAGTAGTGATCCTCTCAAAGAAGCTCATAATTTTACCACGAACATTCATTCTCTCCTCGAAGATCTTACACAAATATACCAAACTGTATTTGATAGATCACTTAAAAATCGCATTACAAGAATAACGAAAAAGCTAAAACGCACATTAAATTCTATAGACGCTGACGAACTTACCAGTTGTTGAATTTACTTACCGAAAAGTAGTTGAAAATATTATTAACTGCGCAAACTCATGTCTTCTTTAGACAGGATCTAATACTTATTTTAATATTTTCTCTGGTTCTTTTTCTGCTATAGATCTTAGTATTAGTAATCCTAAATCTGCACATTTTTTAACCTGTCGACACTCTCTTACTCGCCCATGATCATCTAATAATCAATTATGTAGACTATTTAGGGTGACCATATGTACTCTTTTTAGTAGAACAGTACCTTTTTTCAAACGCTGTCCTATTGTACTTTAAAATTTATGAAGTACACCTAAATGTACTCTTTTTCTTAATTACACAAAATTAAGTCCTACTTTTTGTCCAAACAAAATATAATTATGATTCGAATTAATTCAAGAATCGATCTTTTGCGGAAGAATCAGAATCTGCTATCTTTAGCAGCAATCGATCGGCACAGGAGTCACTTGCGACTCTCATCGCCGCATCATCTTCTAGTTTAGTTTATTACCGATACACCCATCTTCCTCCCATCACTGTCGATTTCATTTCGCAGCTAGGTCTTATTTATCTCATTTATTTAGTAAATTATATCTCGTCGTATGTTTATATTTATTTGTTACTTGTGCGCTCACCGTTGATTAGTCTGTTAACCTTTTGTCTTAAATTCCGGCAGTTTTTCTCGTTTTTTATATTATTTTGTGCTGTGTGGAAAAATAAATAATTTTATCATGTCACCGCCTAGAAGAAAATGCCATTTTAACGTCGAGTTGCAAGCAGAGTATCCTTTTATGAAATAAAAATCAAATGTTTCACCGCATATTGTCTTTTGCCAAGTTTGTAAAAGTGATGTTGATATTTCTAACAGTGATCGCAGTAATATAAAACAACATTTGTCAAAGAAAAAACACGTGTTCGCTGCTAATGCGAACTTAAAGAGCAGCAAATTGGAAACCTTTGTTAAAAAAGAAAATTTAAGTTCTGAAAATTTGTTGATTGCTGCCAAGGAAGGTACTTTTGCTTACCATACAATTAAGCATTTGCAAAGTTTCAAATCCCTAGAGTGCACGTCAAAACTAATTGTAAGCATGTTTGAACCTAAATTTGCGGCAGCTCGAACCAAGACTGAGGCGATTGTAAAAAATGTTTAAGCTCAAGAGGCTCAATCCCAATTAGAAATTGACCTTCGAAAAGCAAATTTCGTCAGCATTACAATCGATTCGTCGAATCATAGAGAAATTAAAGTTGTGCCCTTAATGGTAAGATATTATGGTGGAGAAAATGGTGTCCAAGTAAAATTACTTCAGCTACGTGACTTACCTACTGGTGAAACATCAGAGCAGTTAAAAGATTACTTGGTCAATGTTTTGAATCACCATAATCTACTACAAAAATGCATCGTAATGTCTGCTGATAATACAAATACAAATTTTGGTGGAATGGGAAGAAAAGGAGTGAACAATCTATTCAGCAAATTAAATGCTGCTCGTGGTAAACCCGTGATTGGAATTGGTTGTGTGGCACACATTTTTAGTAACTGTTTACAAAATGAGACGGACGTCTTACCCATAGACATCGAGGTTATTGCGGTCAAGATTTTTAAGTATTTCTATATTTTTACAGTCACAGTGGAGAAACTGAAACAGTTTTGCTATTTTGTTGATATCGAGTACAAAAAGAAATGTTGTCGTTTTCAAAAACAAGATTTTTGGGCCTAATGCCAGCCATTGAACGAATTATACAAATGTTCGAACCCTTGAAAGCATATTTTTTATCGATTGATAATTGTCCAACAGCTCTAAGACAGTTTTTTCAAAACCCAATTAGTGAAGCATGAATGTGGTTTGTGCATTACATTGCGTCTCTCTTCCACAAAGTGCTTTAAGATGCAGCAGATGACAAAATGTTCGCAACGGAAGCCGCTTTTTAGTATTTTGAACTTGTAAATAAGCTTCAAAATCGTTTAAATGAGTTATTTTTACCGCTTAAAGTAAGAGAGTCACTTTAAAAACTTGAAATTATGGAAGACCTTGACCTTAGTGTGAACTATCGGGATATCTTTATCATGCATGTCACGCAGTTCTATTCAAATTGTGTAACATATTTAAAAAACTGGAGTGAAAATTTAAGTGAACTAAAGCTATTCGGATGGGTTGACTTGAAAAAACAAGTTTCTTGGGCTGAAATTTTATCGTCGTGTGAGGCTTTCAAAGACTACATAGGTCCGATATTGAATCAGGACGAACTGTTTGATGAAGTTAGTCTAATAGAAACCTACGTTACAGAAGATAAAATCGCAGACTGGAATTCGAAAAATATTTTTACCGAAGATCGATGGCTCGAAATCTTCCAAAAAGAAAGTGCTTTGAAAAATCTCAAAATTCTATGTGAGTTTGTTTTTAGTCTGCCTGGGACCGGTGCGTCGATTGAGCGGTTGTTCTCAAATATCAATAACTATTGGAGTCCCAAAAAATCCCAGTTGAAAATATCTACTCTGGAAGCCATCATGCAAGTCTACACAAACTTCAAAGTTTCGTGCAATGAAATGTTTCAGTTCTTAAAGAGTAAACCACAACTTCTGAAGGAAATTCATAGTTCCAAAAAGTACGACTGGTACCAAAATGATAATCAAGATGTTCAGAAAGGAACGTCGAAAGGAAATTAACTATTAAAATTTATCATAAATTTTTTATATACTTACGTTTGGTTAAAAAAAATCGTTCGTATCATTGTTTCATTAAAGATTCGTAAAATTTTGACAAAAAAAAATTCCTAGGGCACTATCAGTGTACATATTTTCTTAAAAATTATAAATGTACTTTTTTTTGTTGAAAAATTATGGTCACCATACGACTATTTGTTAACATTATTAACAGACACTATTCTTTAAGCTGCTAAGATTCACATTGGCAAAATATCATTCTCTCTAAATCATTAAGCAGTTCATGGTGGAACTCTTCTTGTGAAGAGGCGATTCGTCTAACCAGAAATGCTTTAAATAAGTACCAAAAAAATAGAAGCCTTGAAAATCTAATATATTACAAAAAAATTTAAGCCAAAGCCAAACATGTAATTAAAAAAGTAAAAAATCATCCTGGCAAGATTACGTATCATCTATCAACGAAAACTCTAATCCCAGCCAACTTTGGAAAAAAAAAGACGACAAATTTAAGGTCACAAAAATAATAATAAAATTAATCCTTTAGTTCCAAATGGTATAGATATCACTTCACATAAACTTATTCTTAAAGCTTTCACCAAACATTTCGAAGAGAAGTTCAGGAATAAAACTAATAATGTTACTTTATCTCATCATGACTTATATTTACCATAGAAATCATCTGCTATCATCTGAATATAGTAGATCCCTTAATTCTCCTTTTACTATCCATGAGCTAATATTTGTCTTATCTAATAGTAGAAACACAGCAGCTGGGCCTGATGATATTCCTTATGCATTCCTAAAGCATCTGTCTAGTGGATGGTCTTAATAAACTCCTTAATTTATACCATATAATCTAGAGTTCCCATAAATTTTCATCTCAGTGGAGCAACTCTATTGTTATGCCAATATTCTAGCCAAATCAATCAATTATCTTTTTACAATATTACAGGCCCATCTCTCTCGCACGCACTATGTGTTCTAAGCTAATGGAAACAATGATCAACAAACGTCTTTTATGGTATTTTAAAAAACACAAAATTATTCCAACGGAACAATCTGGCTACCAAAGACAGCGCTCCACAAGAGATAAACTGGTACTACTCCAAACCCATATCCCGAACGCAATAAATTGCAAGCAAGATTTGATAGCAACTACTTTTGATATATAAGACGCCTTTGATACCATCTCTGGAAATGCAATCCTTGACAAACTTTATAAATGTAACCTTACTGGCAACATATACGCATTTATCAAAAACTTCCTAACATCTAGATCGTTCAGCGTTTCTGTCAATAACTTTCTTTCTTCTCCATACATCCAATATGATGGAGTACCTCAAGGTTAAGTTTTAAGCACATCCTTATTCATTCTTTCGATTAGTAAGTTTAGTGAAAATATAGCTCCATCAATCAAATGCGTATTATATGTGGATGACCTAATAATGTACTGTCATGGTAAATCCAACACAAACAATAGTAAAATTCTAGTAAACGACCTACCAAACAAACTAGCTTCTCTAGGATTTACCCTCTCTCACTCCAAATCCAAAGGTATTAAATTTAGCAGAAGAATGAGTTCTTTTAATCCTAAAATCACTATTAACAACTTCAACAACTTCAATTACCGGTTGTTGATAATTGCAAAATATAAGGGCTTATATTTGATTTAAGATTAACCTGGAAACAACATATTCAGGAATTGAAAGGAGTTTGCATAAAAAGGTCAAATATAATCAAAACACTGTCACATTATCATTGGGGCCCGGAAGAAACTAAGTTACTGAAAGTTTACAGGTGACTAATCCGCTCCAAGCTCGACCATGGGTGTTTCGTCTATATGTCTCGAACTAAATCAATCTTAAATTTACTAAATACAGTACACAACATGGCTATTCGTCTATGTCTTGGAGCATTCCGTTCTAGTGTGGAAGAAAGTCTTTACTGTGAAGCTACTAGCCGTCCTCTATGGCTTAGGCGAGAAAACCTTCTTCTCTCCTATGCTGCTGTAATTTCTTCCAATTTGTTCAATCTAGTATACAATTTAATTACATCATTACACCAACCCCATAACAACCCTGCATTTACCTTAATTATACATCCTATTCCCAGTTTTCTACAACCATTACTAAAATATATAAATTTATGGTCTGAAACCAGAACTTTACCATTCTCCAATAATCCGTATTGGACCAACATACTCCCACATTATGATATTTCCCCTTACCAAATTTAACAAGGAAGATACCAGTATTAGTACATTAGGAATTCTCTTTCTAGAACTTATACACAAAAATAAATATATAACGCGTCAAAGACTGAAAGTGGTGTTGGGTATTCTGTAACCATTGTATAACAACCTATCGAACTCTCTAAAATTTCTACTTGGTATAGTATCCACACTGGTGACCTACTAGCTATCTCACATGCTTTCATATATGCCCAACAATATGTTCTGATTCACTTTTCTCTATACACTCCATTAATACTATATCCACCAACCATCCTATCGTCCAAGATATTCATGACACATATTAGCTTCTTCTAAACCAAAATACAACTGTTACTCTGATATGGGTACCTTCCCATGTCGGTATTAGTGGTAACGAAAAAGCTAATTGCCTTGCCAAAAAAGTCACATCATCCACGGACACCATTATCAATATACAAATTTGCAACCATCTCAAAGCTAGACTGAAGAAGCTTAATCTATCCACCTGACAGATTCACTGGAATAATGTTACTTCAGCGCTGCATGAAATTAAACCATCAGTAAACATTTTTACCTATCCCAGTTTATCTCAAAAAAATATGGCAATCACCACTAAAATGTCAGCACTGCAATACAACTCTCCGAATCAGGCATATACTTATCGAATGCCCTTTTTATGCCAAAATACGCCAACAGCTAGATATTAGTACTCACTTCAAAGAGGTCCTAAACAGCACAGACCAAATCAAAAACAAGGTTATCAAATTCCTCGAGAAAAGTCAACTGCTCATCAAAATATAAATGTTATGTTACAAGTTTTTATTATTTTCTCTTTATGTTAAATGTTAACTACCTTATTTTGTAATTTATATGATATTACCATGTAAATCATAACTCGTGCTAAAGACCATAGATGTCATATGCACATTAATTTAAATTAAAAAAATACATATTATTTTATAAATTTTCCAAATCCTTTATTTCTTTATAAACAACGTTATTTCTTTATTAAATCTCAAAATGATTCTCAACTTTTTCATTATTTAAAATATTTAATGTTTATTTTTTGTATATAATTTTGTATAGACACACTAACAATTATATTGCAAAAGATGTGGCTGAATATTGAACATTATAATTTTTTTTTATTGATTTATTTAATGTCGTCCGAACCACTGGAGTTATAGACGACAACAACGGAAAATACATATTATAACAAAGAAAGGTTAATATTAATTACGTACTAACATTAAAGTAGATTGATATATGTCATATAAGTACAGACTAGATTTTAATTTAAATATCTTTTATGCCTATAGCCGTTAAAAACTTTATAATATTGTATAGATGAGTATTGTCTCTAAGAAGCTCGTCTATGTCGCTGGGAAGGTTGAGTTTACTTCCGGATTCCTGGAAAATTTTACATTCGGTTAAAATATGTTTAACTGTACTGTTGGTTTGACACTGGTTGCAGTATGGAGCATTGTCTCTTGTAATTCCGTAAAGATATGTTTGACGGGTGTGACCAATTCGAAGTCGAGAAAAGATTACTTGTTTTTTCCTAGGTAACACAAAGGCTTGTTTTTGTAAAACATTGTCTTTAATTTGCCTTAGTTTTTCGGAACACTGCGACCATTTGTTTTGCCACGCACAACTAACTATGTTTTTTAAGCACAATTTAAGATCACTTGGCACTATTTTATTTAATTGCACTTGACTATCACTTGTCGCTGCTTCGTGAGCTAGACGGTCTACAACCTCGTTACCGTGTATTCCAATATGAGATGGAACCCAGATTAATACCACATGGTTGTTTTCCTTTTCAGCATTTTGAAGTTCTTTGTAAATGTCTTTATGAATAGGATTGCTGGAGTACATGTTTTTGATGTCACAAAGGGCATTCATTAAGTCAGTTATGATTGTGTAATTTCTCTGGTCCGTTGTGTTAATGAATTTTAGAGCTTCAAGGATTGCGTATAGTTCTGCGTTGGAGATAGTCCAGTTGTTATGCAACTTAAATTTAGCATAATGAGTATTACAGAAAATGGCTGCGCCGACTCCATCCGTTGTTTTTGATGCATCTGTGTAGATCTGTCGGTAGTCGCTAAATCTATCCATAATATCTTTAAAGTTGTTTATTAATATGGCTGGTGGGGATTCATGTTTACTAAATTTTGATAGGTCAGTAATTACTGGTGGTTTATTTACAGTCCATGGAGGAGGAGGGTTTTCGGAAGGATGGTATATTGTCGGGAATTGTATGCTATATTTATGACGTAATCGGTTAATTCGTTCATATAAAGGCGGATTACATTGAGGATGAGATGAGAAGTAGTGGCTGAAACGATTGCTGTGAACGTTATGGTAGACTGGGTTATCTAGAGAGGTTAGAACTTTACAAGCAAACGACAAACTTAAAAAATCTCTTCTAAATTCCAAAGGGGTTTGCCCTGATTCACTACATATACTTAGTATGGGGCTTGTTCGAAAGGCACCCAAAACGACTCGCAGTCCCGTATTTTGGATTACATCTAGTTCTTTAAGAACAGATTTTTTGGCTGTGAGCCGTAGTCAATTTTTGATCGAACTAATGATGAAAAGATTCGTAGGAGAGTTGCTTTATCCAGTTGATGTTCGACAGTGTCTTCAAAATATTAATGCTTTGCTGGCAAATACCTTTTAGATTTTTAATGTGACTTTTCCAATTCAATGTTTTGTCAAATAAAAAAAATTATCTCAAATCCTTTATAAAAGGTATATAATAAAATGCCCAAACGGGCTATCACAAATATGTTACACAACGTTTTCGGATTGTTAAATCCATCATCAGTGTAAACCTGAAAGTAAATAACCACTTTAATTAAAAAGAACGTGGAATTTAAAATGTTGACTAAGATTAAAGAACATTGTGGTTAATACTTACGAGGTATACATGCTATGAGCCACCAAAATATATGGGTCAAAACCCTTTAAATGATATTAATTTACAGTTGCTTTGCATTATATGTGGTTACAAATTATAATGTTTAAGTTACCGTTGGAATTGGTAACATGGCGACGTATGACCCTACATAGGTAAAATGGTCCTGAGACGAAGTGTCTTCGAGGACCTGTTGATAACAACTGATCAAAATGACATTGTTGACATGTTAGAACGGATGTTGTGTCAGAGCAGTCAGTGTAACTTACGGTAGTTGTCTAAAAAATAACAGATGTCAGCATTATTTAAAATTGAAAAATTAAAATTATAATGATGTAACAGTATCAACCATCAATGTTTTTGTCTGTAATATGAATTAAGTATATGGCTATATTGGAAACATTGAAAAAAATTGTTTTTTTTTTAAATTAATGTGGGTAAACTGGAGTTTATGAAATTTTGGAGGATCAATAAACAACCAACTATACATGTGTATGGATTTATTTGTTCTAAATTAAAAAAAAATTATCAAAAGGCCCTATATGTTGTGTAACATTTGGTACCTAGAAAATGGTAAAAAAAGCACATGTAGCAAGATGGGTCCTATAAGATTTATTACTTCACGTCTAAGCTTTGTCGTTAACAGACGTGTTTAATAGCTAGCCTAATTACACCTAGTTTTTTGCGATATTATTTATATTCAGTTGATAAAATTGCAATAAAGTGTAATGTTAATATAAAAATAAATTTGAACTACTTGGAAAAAAACTGTAAGTAGTATTTATCATAATATAATTAAAGATACTTATATCAAAACAAGTTCCTGCTACCGGATTTATCAACTACACAACTTTTGGTACCTCATTGTCATTACCGATTCTGTTGTGACAAACAGGACCGTCTGAAGAATAGAGGTACCAAAATATGAATAATATTTTTAAAAATGGATGAAGATTCTGTTGGTTCTGTTTCTTCTCCTAACAACAATCAACCATGTTCATATTCCAACGCTGTTACTTCATTTAAATATCCAACCAAAGACCAAGCCATTGTCCTATCTGCTCTCAATGGTGAATACGTGATAGCAATAGGAAATATAGTAAAACCAGAAGATATATTATTTGCATCCCGCATCTCAAATAACAGAATTTGTATTTATCTCTCCAATACCGAAGTCGTCAACACATTGCTGAAGACACATATATCAATATCCATTAATGATTCAGAAGTTGAAGTAAGACGTCTAATTACTCCTGCTACAAGACTGGTCATCTCAAATGTCTGTCCCACCATACCAAACTCAGTACTTGAAGTTGAGCTGAAAAAATTAGGACTTAATACTGTATCCCAGATTACTTTTCTTCGAGTTGGAATGCCAGACACTGCCTATAACCACGTTTTAAGCTTTCGAAAACAAATTTTTATTACTCCTATTGAAAATATCACTATCCCAGATTTCATTACAATATCCTTCGACAACACCAACTATCGAATTTATCTATCCACTGACTTAAATTACCCTAAGTGTATGTCAAAAGGTCATCGCGAAACAGACTGCCCTGTTCTATCACAATTGACATCAACTGAAACACCCATTGAATCTCAATCTACAATATCACTCCCGTCTAAACCTCAAAATCTTACAACAGAAGCAGGAAATCCTATTAATAATACCACTAACTTTCAAATAACAGCAGAAGATATTCACAACGAAACGACTAAAAATAACAATCCTATTACTTTGAACACTGATGCCTCCCATCAAAAAACAAAAAGACAAATATCTACTGACTCTCCTGAGATACATGAAACGCCACCCGATCCAACAATTTTTACCAAACCCAAAAATACAGTTAAGCGGCCAAAATCATCACAATCTGATATCCTCGAGTCACTTGAATCTATTAAAGGTAAAATCGAATCTAAATACCCGACATTTCCTCTTAAATATACAGTTCTTTGTGACGCGATATGTAACGCATTAAACTCAAATTATCCTACCCCCATAGGAGAAAATTACACAACCGATATGGGTTCTTTTAAAGAGATACTTCTATTCGCCCACGACCCAGGACCATATAAACTAACAAGACTTCGAAAAAAGATACAATCCTCAGTTACCGATTCATCCTCGGATATTGAAAGCGATAACTCCCTTTCCCACGTTGTAAAATAAAATGGATAATACATTTATATTAAAGTGGAATCTTAATGGTTATTTTAATAATTTAGAATCCCTTAATCTACTTATAAACGATCTTTCTCCTCTTATAATATGTTTACAGGAAACCCACCTTAAAACTAATAACTTTAATATAAAAAATTATTCCCATTTCCTTAAAAATCGAGACGCAACATATGCTAGTGGAGGTGTCGGTATTTTTGTAAAAAATCACATTCAGACCAAAGAAATTAAGCTACATACTAATCTAGAAGCTGTAGCTGTATCAGTGTCATGCAATATCAACTACAGACCTATTAACATATGTAACATTTACCTTCCTCATCCAAATGAAAATGTACTTGAAGAATTACATCGCTTAATCGATGATATTCCTGCTCCCAAACTAATACTTGGTGACTTGAATTGTCATAATATCACATGGGGTAGTATAAAAACAGACAAATGTGGTAGACTTCTTCAGAAGTAAATCTACTCATTTCAGCTCCCACAATAGTACTTTTTCTGCCATCGATATTTCATTGTGTGATCACACATTAGCTACAAGTTTTTCTTGGAATAGTCTTGATTATCTATATAATAGCGATCATTTTCCTGTAACAATTGAAAACATTTTGCATGATCAACCAAATATTCCTGTTTACCAAAAATGGAAATTAAACTCAGCAAACTGGGACTTATATAGAGAAATAATAAATAATTATCTTACGAAGTTTATTCTAGAAGATAGCATAGATTCATCTCTTCATCATTTCAATGATACTATAGTAAAATGCGCTAATATTGCAGTGGAAAAAACAAAACCTTGTAAACGAAAACCAGTACCATGGTGTAGTGAAGAAATTGCCTTAGCTATGAAATCTAGCAAACATGCTTTCAATGTTTTCAAAAGACATAAAACAACAGAAAATGTTATCTATTTTAAAAAACTTAGAGCAAAAACTAAATATCTTATTAAGAAAAGTAAAAAAGAAACATGGTCAAATTATGTCTCTACCATAAATTCATCAACACCTATGACTACAATCTGGAATAAAGTACGTACATTAAAAGGTGAACACAACTTAATTCATATTAACACTCTTTATTATAAAAACAAATTAATATCTTCCAAACAAGAAATTAGTAATATTATGTCAGATGTATATAAGAATAATTCAAGCAATGCAAACTTCAATCCCGCATTTTTAGATTTCAAAAATAAACGTGAAATGACAGATATATCTATAATAGATAGTGATAATCCACTAAATTTCCCCATCACATATCAAAAATTTGAAGAAGCTCTAGATAAATCAAAAAACATTTCATCGAGTCCTGATAATATACCAATCATATTTATCAAAAACTTGCCGTACATAGGAAAATTAATTCTCTTAGACATTTTCAATCACATTCACCTTAATAAAAAATTTCCTTCAATCTGGTCTGAATCAACAATTATTCCCATATTAAAACCTTTCAAATCAAAAACTGACCCCCTTTCCTATAGATCAATTTCTCTTACAAATAATACATGCAAACTACTAGAAAAAATTTTAAATAACAGATTAATATGGTTTCTTGAAAAAAACCAATTATTAAGCCATATCCAAAGCGGTTTCAGAAAAGGCAGATCAACTCATGATGCCTTAGTAGCTATTGACAATATTATATGTGAGTCCTTTAGAAATAACCAGAAAGTAATTGCCATATTTTTTGATATAAATAAAGCATTTGATACTGCATGGAGATACAACATTTTACAAACCATGTCCAATTGGGGTATCCAGGGAAATTTTCTTGCCTTTGTAAAACATTTCATAATTAATAGGATATTTCAAGTACGTGTAAATGGAATTACCTCAAAAACAGAATGTCTTGAAAACGGTATTCCACAGGGCTCAACCTTAAGCCCCACTTTATTTTTAATAGCAATTAATAATATCACTCAAGAGATAAAGCTACCTTTGAAAGCAGGTCTGTATGCAGATGACTTGTTGTATGAGATGAGTTGTATATACTAGTAGCTGCAATATTACACTAGCCTCAAACATTTTGCAATCATTTCTGCATAAACTAGAAAACTGGTCCCAAAAGACTGGTTTTACGTTCTCAGGTGATAAATCTCGTTTAATCGTATTTAATAAAAGAAAAACTGATTGCAAAACAACACTTACTCTAAATGGTATCAACCTAAAACAAGTAGACAGTATTGACTTTCTTGTCCTGAGACTGGACAGTCAGTTAACATGGGCAGAACATATTAAAAAGCTAGTCGTATCCTGCCAATCTAAAATAAATCTCCTTAAAATGCTATCAAACCGATCTTGGGGAGCGGACACCATAAAATTGCTGCATATATACCAATCATTAATCCGAAGTAAACTGGATTATGGTGCAATATGCTATTCAAGTGCGAGTAATTATATACTTAAAAAACTAGACATTATACAAAACACATGTTTAAGACTAATTCTGGGTGCTTACCGAACTAATCCTGTTTTAAGTTTTCAGGTTATCCTAAATGAATCTCCCCTATCAATACGAAGACAACACATTTCTTTAAATTATGCCGCGAGATTGTCTTCCAACCCTAATAACACAAACTATCCACTTCTTTATAAAATATATCCACCTACTCATTGCCATCGACAAATTAAATATCTACCCCTTAAAGAACGTCTAACGAGATATGGTTTTGACAAGGAGCAGCTGACACATTCTTACCCTACACAACGAACTATACCTCCCTGGACTATTAATTTTCCCACTATTGATCTATCCCTCACGGCCTATCGAAGGAGTACCACAAATCCCATAATCATTAACAAATTATATCAAGAACGGATATTAGAATACACTGGCCATAACAAGATTTTTACCGATGCGTCAAGAACTGAAAACGGACACGCAGCGGCCTTTATTGTAGGAAAGTCTGAATATGCAGTTCGCATCCATCAATTCTGCAGCATTTTCACGGGAGAAGCAATCGCCATTTTAAAGGCTTTAAACATGTGTAAGAGTCATGCAATCTCAGATTTTCTTATCATTACTGACTCTTTATCTGTTCTTCGGAGCTTAAGGCAAATATATCCAGTACATGCTATCCTGCAACAAATACAATTAGCACTTTATCACCTACAAAACAGACACGTGAACGTTACATTTCTCTGGGTACCATCACATACAGGTATCGCAGGAAATGAAAAAGTAGATGAATTAGCAAAGAAAGCTGCTACTGACGAGAAAACTGAAATTATGACTACAATTCCATTCAGTGATATCCAGCTCAATATTAAACAGCACTGTGTAAAAAATTGGCAACAAATGTGGATTTCTAATAAGGCTAACCTTAAAAACGTGAAAAATCGGATTGGCACTAAACTACAATTTCCAGAAAACAGAAGGCAACAAGTGATTATAAACCGACTAAGAATTGGACATACAGCGTTAACTCACCAGCATCTCATAACCAAAGAACTACCACCTGAATATTCCTATTGTAAATGTCCAATAACTGTTCAACATGTATTGATTGAATGTCCTCTTTATTCCTACGAAAGAGCCATCAACAACGTACCAGAAGAAGCAAAGAAACTTAAAGATATTTTAAACAGTAATGTATCTAATACAATCAAATTCCGTTTACTACACAAAATTTAAATTATATTATATGTATCTTTTTGTAATTTGTAATTTATTATGTGTAATTTAATACGCAATTTGTAATTAGTAAATTTGTATTTGTAATAACAACTGTAAAATCTGTAAAACCCGCTAACCTTTAATGGTTGATGCGGAAAGTTTTAACTTTAATGATTCTAGGTCTTCATAAAAAAAACTTTCTCAAACTAGACCTTTATGAAGACCTAGAAATCATTAAAGAAAAACAGAAAAGTCCAAATTGTATCAATCGCCATGTCTCATTCAATCGAGATTTTCTTCCGCTCCACCGTCAACTATTTTCATAACCCACTTTCCAACTTTACTTCTTCATTAGTATTTCAATTTTCGTCCTCCTCTTATCACCCACTAATCGTCCTTAGCCCTCTCTAACTTTGTTCAATATATCCAACTCCCCTTCTCTCCTCACTTCTGTCTAGGCACCCCACATTCTCCATGCTCCTTTTCAACAAAATAAATTCAGAGCAGATTATTCCACACCCTCTCCAAAAAACAATTTTTCATTAACATACACCTTCACCTACTCAACTACATATCTTCACTTTTTCTTAATGCATTTTTTCTTTTCTATTATAACTCCTTTTACCCATCAACTCTCCCTCAGGGTTTGGTTTTCGGGTCTCTGGGGTCTTTAGCCTCTTGTAGTTTTTCCAATTTTCTCTTCACAATAATAATTAAACATCACACATCTTAAGTAAATTTGACAGATCCAACTTAAACATAACTACTCTTTTAGTTTCATAATATTCTCACAATACACCCCAAAAGCCTATTTATCTCACATACCTACCTAAACTCAAATTTATAACTCATCCTTTTTATTTTATATTTCTCAGGCACCAAATGTTCCTTTTAACATGTAGGGCCTTTTGTTTTTTCTTGAGTTTTAATTTAAGCAATTTATTAACCATACCATACCAAACCACCTTTCAGCCATCAGTTTTCTATTGTTCTGGCATACGTGTCCACACACAAAGCCAATCTACCATCTTTAATTTTCACACATAACCAGCAATTCATGTTCATGTACTTATAACTTAAAAAATCTTTTATTTTTACCAGGTGCCAAATGTTGTTTTTTGACATAGAGGGCCCTCTTTGTTTAAGTTTTTAGTTAAGTACTACATGAACATCACACCACAATCACATTCTTGTCATATTTAAATTTCAGCTCAACAACAGATCTAAACACACTTTTTACTACAACATTCCTCATTAATAAATCTTATAGGACCCATCTTCCTACATGTGCTTTTTTTACCATTTTCAAGGTACCAAATGTTACACAACATACAGGGCCTTTTGATAAAATTTTTTTAATTTAGAATAAATAAATCCATACACATGTATAGTTGGTTGCCTATTGATCCTACAAAATTTCATAAACTCCAGTTTACCCACATTAATTAAAAAAAAAACAACAAGTTTTTAGACAACTACCGTAAGTTACACTGACTGCTCTGACACAACATCCGTTCTAACATGTCAACAATGTCATTTTGATCAGTTTTTATCAACAGGTCCTCGAAGACACTTCGTCTCAGGACCATTTTACCTAATACGTCGCCATGTTACCAATTCCAACGGTAACTTAAACATCATAATTTGTAACCACATATAATGTAAAGCAACTGTAAATTAATATCAATTAAAAGGGTTTTGACCCATATATTTTGATGGCTCATAGCATGTATACCTCGTAAGTATTAACCAAAATGTTCTTTAACCTTAGTCAACATTTTAAATTCCACGTTCTTTTTAATTAAAGTGGTTATTTACTTTCAGGTTTACACTGATGATGAATTTAACAATCCGAAAACGTTTTGTAACATATTTGTGATAGCCTGTTTAGGCATTTTATTATATACCTTTTATAAAGAATTTAAGATAAATTTTTTGTGATATATGGTATACAGCTAGCTACAGGAACTTTGTTTCCTAGTGGAGTTTTGTCAAATGTAAGACCGAGTTTACCATTCAATATTAAAATTGGATTATCCTCTATTATAGTTTATTCGTCTTCCGGGTTTGGACCGTGTCATTTGTGAGTGACCCAAAAGTGGGTTCATCTCGACGTTTCGCTACAATTGTATGTAGCTTTTTCGGGAGAACAAAGAAAAAGAAATCAAAAAACAGGAAGATGGGTAGTTAGCAACGGTAACTCAGTTACTCAACGCAACCAGAGGCGAATACTAACTACCAAGATGGGCATTTGGTCACAGTAACTCAACTACTCAACGCAGCCAGAGTTGAAAACCAAATGCCAGGACAGGGATTCACGTCCAACAGCTCAGAACACTAACGCGTCGAGAGGCGGGGAGTCAAAGAATTGTTTTATCCAATGTATGCCCCAGCATATCACATTCTATTTTAGAAGCAGAGCTAATAAAGCTAGGTCTAAATCTATTATCGCCTATCAACTTTCTTAAAATAAACGCGTCTCGCCCAGAATTTAGTCATATTCTCAGTTTTCGCCGACAAACGTATATTACTCCTTTAGAAAACAATGCAACATTACCAGCTTCTTTCATAATAAATTTTGACAATACATCATACAGAATTTTCTTAGCAACCGACAACCTTAAATGTTTTTCTTGTAAACAATCAGGTCACTTAGCTGTAGTATGCCCACTTCTACCACATAACGAGCAAACTTCATTAGAGGATTTCGCCCAATGCACAGAAGCCGCCAACACTCAAGCGTCTAATGATGAATCTTGTCAAAACATAAGCGCATCTTCAGTTAATCAAAATGTCAATGTAAATACCAAAGAACGAAATAAACGGAATACGGAACCAATGAAAACATCTGAAACGGAAGCCCAAGAAACTTCAACGATTTCCATTAAACGACAAATGTCAGAGTCTACACCACCGCCTAAAGACCTCCACAAACAACCCACATTTCAGAAACCCAAACCTAAGAAAATAAAACCGAAAAAATCCATTCACGATGAAATTCAACCATTACAACAAATGTTTGAAGACAATAAAAACAATTTTACACTGAACTATAACCAAACTTTAAATCTTTTTGAATCAGCCCCACACAACGCAGACATATTGAATCTTCTTAAAACCTATACAGACAATGTACCAGGTTTCCTTAAGGATCTGGACACTATGTACACTCAAAGCTTAAAAAAGTTGAAAACAAAAATCACAAACATTAAAAAAAAATTACAGCATCAACTCTTCAGAACATTTGTATCAATGGACAGCGAACTCTCATCATCTCAAGAAAACTTAAGTACTTAACATTCAGATGTATGTATAATACACTAGCATCTCAACGGGTACAACACCCGTTGCGAAATGTTACAAAAGTTAATTGCTCAAAAATCATCATCAGTTATTTGCCTTCAAGAAACTCATTTCAAAGATTCTTAGCATGCAAGGTTAAAGGGTTTTAAATGCCTGTATAAAAACAGGACCAATAGAGATAAAGCAAGTGGTCTATATCAACCAAATGTACGAAGCAGAACTAATACCTTTAAATACATCCTTAGAAGCTGTTGCAATCACAATTAATAGAAAGATCTCAATATGCAACATTTATATTCCACCGAGTGAAAATTTTTCAACTGCCGTAATCAAGGAACTACTTCAACAGATCCCATCTCCCCGTATACTCTTAGGAGATTTTAATAGTCTTAGTCCCTACTGGGGATCCAAATTTCGATCATTAAAAGGAAAAGTACTAGAACAATTACTTGACAGTAACAATATAAACATCTTGAATACAGAGGAACCCACAAGATTTAATATACAAACAGGAGAATCCTCAGTTATCGACCTGAGCATGTGCGATCCGATCCTACAAACATCTTTAAATTGGAAAGTCCATCCCTTCTTATACGGGAGTGATCACTTTCCTATTCTCATAACCCGTCCTTTTAAAACCGCCTTAACTACTCCTCTCTCAAAATGGAAATTAGACCAGGCAAATTGGACACTTTTCTCAGACCAAATAGACCAAAAACTCCTATATCTTCCTGACCCTAGTACTTCAAATACATTTTCAACTTATCTAAAATTCTCTGAGGTAATATTAGAAGCAGGCCACAAAGCAGTCGGAAAAACTAAAACTCTAAAAACTCACACGCCAGTACCGTGGTAGAATGAATTCTCCGGGTCCAGATGATATACTAATAATTTTTCTCCAAAAACTAAGCACAAACGCTGGAATATACCTCCTTAATGTTTTGAACCAAATGTGGATTCAGCACTACTTTCCAAAGTCTTGGTCAGAATTATATATTATCTCAATCCCTAAACCCCAAAAACCGAAAACAGATCCCCAGTTCTATAGACCAATATCCCTAACCCCGTCAACCTGTAAGCTATTTGAAAAGATTATAAACCGTCGTCTTACATAGTTTCTGGAAGATAAAAAATTAGTTATCCCGGAGCAAAACGGCTTTCGTCAAAATATATCAACGATGGATATCCTAGTTTATCTTGAATCCGAAGTTCACGAAGCACTCATTAACTAACAACACTGTGTAGCTATTTTCTGCAATATAACAAAAGCCTATGATTGCACATGGAGTTATGGTATAGTAGAAAAGCTTCACTCCTGGGGTATTAATGGACAATTCCTAAAATTTATTCAAAATTTTCTTCAACTTAGAACATTTAAAGTACGATCAAATGGTACACTATCATCAACTCGAATCCAGGAAAATCTAGTCCCCCAGGGATCCGTGTTAAGTGTAACTTTATTTCTTGTTGCAATTAACGATATCTTGGAACAATGGCAACATCCAGTAAAAGCAAGACTATACGCAGACGATCTGGTTATCCTACTAAGAGGAACAAATCTAGAATCTACCCAAAGAATCCTGCAAAGCGCATTAAATAATCTCCAGAAATGGTCTGACAAAACAGGACTCAGTTTCTCTAACGAAAAAACAAAATGCATGATCTTCTCAAAAAAACGAAAAGAGGATAATCCAAATATAATCGTAGGCTTCCACGGCTAGAGTCAGAATTATAGTTTATTCGTCTTCCGGGTTTGAACCGTGTCATTTGTAAGTGACCCAAAAGTGGGTTCATCTCGACGTTTCGCTACAATTGTATGTAGCTTCTTCAGGAGAACAAAGAAAAAGAAATCAAAAGACAGGAAGATGGGTAGTTAGCAACGGTAACTCAGTTACTCAACGCAAACAGAGGCGAATACTAACTACCAAGATGGGCATTTGGTCACAGTAACTCAACTACTCAACGCAGGCAGAGTTGAAAACCAAATGCCAGGACAGGGATTCACGTCCAACAGCTCAGAACACTAACGCGTCGAGAGGCGGGGAGTGAATCGGATGAATGAGTGAATGAAGGCGGAATGAATTGCTTGGCATAAAAAACTCTTCTCCGGGTCCAGATGATATACCAATAATTTTTCTCCAAAAACTAAGCACAAACGCTGGAATATACCTCCTTAATGTTTTGAACCAAATGTGGATTCAGCACTACTTTCCAAAGTCTTGGTCAGAATTATATATTATCTCAATTCCTAAACCCCAAAAACCGAAAACAGATCCCCAGTTCTATAGACCAATATCCCTAACCCCGTCAACCTGTAAGCTATTTGAAAAGATTATAAACCGTCGTCTTACATAGTTTCTGGAAGATAAAAAATTACTTATCCCGGAGCAAAACGGCTTTCGTCAAAATATATCAACGATGGATAACATAGTTTATCTTGAATCCGAAGTTCACGAAGCACTCATTAACTAACAACACTGTGTAGCTATTTTCTGCAATATAACAAAAGCCTATGATTGCACATGGAGATATGGTATAGTAGAAAAGCTTCACTCCTGGGGTATTAATGGACAATTCCTAAAATTTATTCAAAATTTTCTTCAACTTAGAACATTTAAAGTACGATCAAATGGTACACTATCATCAACTCGAATCCAGGAAAATCTAGTCCCCCAGGGATCCGTGTTAAGTGTAACTTTATTTCTTGTTGCAATTAACGATATCTTGGAACAATGGCAACATCCAGTAAAAGCAAGACTATACGCAGACGATCTGGTTATCCTACTAAGAGGAACAAATCTAGAATCTACCCAAAGAATCCTGCAAAGCGCATTAAATAATCTCCAGAAATGGTCTGACAAAACAGGACTCAGTTTCTCTAACGAAAAAACAAAATGCATGATCTTCTCAAAAAAACGAAAAGAGGATAATCCAAATATAATCGTAGGCTTCCACGGCTAGAGTCAGAATTATAGTTTATTCGTCTTCCGGGTTTGAACCGTGTCATTTGTAAGTGACCCAAAAGTGGGTTCATCTCGACGTTTCGCTACAATTGTATGTAGCTTCTTCAGGAGAACAAAGAAAAAGAAATCAAAAGACAGGAAGATGGGTAGTTAGCAACGGTAACTCAGTTACTCAACGCAAACAGAGGCGAATACTAAC